TCAGAGAAAAAGAGGAAGACCCCCCAACGAGATGGATTGGTCAGGTGGCATCATTGATGGACTCAAGTGTGGCAGCGGTAGTGAGGTTGGCCCGGGATCAGACATTGTTTCGTTCTACTGTGCATGGGGTCGCTATGAGTCGGTTCCAACTCGATGGCACCTGACAACAACAACAACCTTACTGAGGTTTTAGTTGTTGTTTACATGAAATTCAGTTGCTAACTCTCAGGAGTTCTCTTTTGCTCATTTTCTTGTTCTGTTGAATCTGACACCCCTGAAGGTTCTCTTGGTGTCAGCAGAAGGGTGACCTGGGGTCCGGCCTACAGGCCCACTCCACTCTGGTTTGGGAGAACTGGGGAGTGTCAGATCAGCCACTCATCTGCTCCCCATCTCCCCACCTCCTGTGGGCTGGCTGGACCTACATGTCCCCATCAGGGACCAACTAAAAGAGATATGTTGTCCCCATGACAAGGTTCATGAAGCGCATACTGGGCACTGGGGCCTTGCCCTGGGGCTCCACTCAGAGGTGGATTGTGGCTTCCCTCCAAGCTGCCTGTCTCAGCAGAGAGAGCATTTCCCCGGTTCAAGACCAGGATGGGGAGGGCTGGGAATGCAAGAGGGGGCCCCAGGACCAGAGGTGGGTGGGCCCTGCCACTCCAGCTTCTAGAAAAGACATAGTCAGAAAGCTCAGCATCTGCTTCTGAAAGTCTTGGAGGGTAAGATGGGACCGGAGGAGGCCTCCACAGAGTCTCAGTGCTGCACATATGGCCCGTGAACAGGGGGCACGAGTCCTCTCTCTGACCTGATCCCCCAGCCCTTGAAGGCTAACTGGATGCTGGGTCAGAGTGCACCCTCTGTTTTGTGGCTCCTCCATCTGCGTGAGGAGGAGCAGCCTATAACTGAAAAAAAGTGGGGGGGATCCCTACTTGCATGCACATTCATGCACATACGCAGGTACACACCACAAGACCTTTCCAAGTCACACACATTCACACACATGTACACACAATCATATGCACTCATATGAAGACACCCACCCACCCCTATGCACACATGCAGACCACACATGCACCCACCCACTCCTATGCACCCACTCAGACGCACGTACTTGCACCCACTCCTGTGCACTCACATGCATGCATACACTTACATGCACGTACATGCACATGGCCACTCATATGTACTCACATGGAATTGTGCACACATGTGCATACACTCAGGCACTCGCCTCACTTGCACACACATGCATGCACTCACATTCACATGTTCTCGCACACTGGCTCACCACTCCCACTGCTCCGTGGACTCAGGCTGCAACTGAAGAGTAGATCTGCCCACAGTAGAATCTGTTCTGGGTGGCAGCTACGCCCTGGGCAGGTTAGAGCCTCTAAGATGACCAGAGACTGGCTCCATGATTGTGTTTGTAGATAAATTCACAGAAACAGAAATGGGAGGCCAAGCACTGTGTACATTGGTCATTTTGATGGATCTGGTGGTGGATTTTCTTCCCTCAAGGTGAGGTCACCTGATGTTCCACCTTAGCCAGGTGAGTGCTGTCTCCTGCCCACTCACAGGCCTGCCAGTAGGGAGGGATCCTAATGTGGTATTGGTTTCTGTCTGCATCTGTCATTTCATGAGCAAAGTTGAGTACCGGTGCTTGTGTTCAGAGTGGTTCCTACTTCCTCTTCAGTGAGCTTTCTGCTCCAAAGCTCTGCCCCCTTTCTGCAATGGCTTGCTAGTCTCAGACTCATTTCAGTGGGGATATTTGGTCATTGCAAATATTGCTTCCCAGAGGTCACTTATCTGTGGGTTCAGATATGGTGCTTTTCTGTCATGCTGAAGTCTCCTTCCTGCACTGTGCTCTCTCTTTCTCTCTTGCTTGTCCTTCCTTCCTTTCTTTCTTATGGCATTTATATCTTTGATTCATCTGGAATTAACTTTGGTGAAGTAGAGAATCAGCTTTCTAGTTTTTTTAAGATGACTACTCATTTGTTTTAAAACCACTATCGAAAAATGGTGTTTTCTCAAATGACTTGTTTTCATTGTCTAATAAATAAATATTTCTGGACTCCTGAATTATTCACTTGTGCATTGCATGTAGCTTTAAATATGATTTTACAGTACATTTTAGTATCTGATCAGACTAATGACTTCGATATCGGTTTTACCTTTTAGGTTTGCCCTCTCAATTCTTGCTTATTAGAATTACCTTGTCTGCTTTTAAAAAGTTAGCATCTGCATTGGGATTACACTAGGTGTACAGATGAGTCTGATCTAAGCATATGGCAAATCTGTCCACCCACATGAATTTAAGGGTCTGTGTTCATATGTATGCACATGTGTGGCTTGAGTCTGTGTGCACACGTGCAGAGTGTTTATGTGTACGCTTGAGAGGGAGTGTACATGTGTCCCTTGGAAGCATTGTGAAGTTTTCTTCACTTAGCTCTTTCCTATTTCTTCAGTACTGCATTCCTAGATATTTGAGCTATTTTGATGCAATGATGAGGTCTTGTCTTCTATCATATTTCCTGATGTTTTTTATTCCTAAAAGTGATAGAAAAGCTGTTGATTTCTATAATTTTACATCTTGACAAATACTCTTACGCTTTTGTACAGTTTTCTTTTTCAGTTGATTCTATGGGGCTTTCTGGATATACAATAAATGATCTATACGTTGTTGTTTTTGTTAAGTTCTGTTGAGTTGGTTCCAACTCATAGCAACCCTGCATAGGGTTTCCAAGGAGCGACTGGTGGGTTTGAACAGGCGACCTTGTGGTCCAGCGCATTATCCTGCAGTGCCATGCCAGGATATAAGAAATCATTTTTTTCTTCTTTCCCAATTTTTTGCTTCCAATTTCTTTCTCTTGTCTAAGTGCAGTGAGCCCGAGCCTCTAACAGACTGGGAAGCACAGTCTGGAAATGGTGTTCTTTGTTCTCTTGGGACTTTGTTGGGAGTGTCTGAGGGTCTCTTGTGGTCTTGGCTTTGGGTTGGAATGGAAACGATTTGTCACATTAGAGAGCTACTCCTGGGTTCCTATTGGATGGTGCTGGCTTTCTTCAGCTCTGTTAACTTGGTGGTTTTACATTAGAGGCCCATTGCCAAACCACTCTCTGACTGGAACAACCAATGAGTTGCTGGGGGCACTCCTAGTTAGGTCTGCATTAGGCTGTGCACACCAGAGGGTGGGTGCTGACACTACACGCCCCATCGGAGCATTTAGAAACACTCTCTCTGCACCTGTGTGGGTGCAGCGTCGAGCTCTTCCACTCTTTGCCCAAGGATCCTGAAAATAGGTCCTGCCTAGGCAGCGGTCAGAACTAAGAAGAGAAATGAGATATTGAAGGTGTGAAATCTGACAGTAAGAGTATTGCTTTGAGTAAAATGAAAAGTTTGACTGACTTTTCCATCCATTTGGTGTTTGATACACATTTGTTGACTAGTTTGCAGCTGTTTGAAGCCAGATTTTATTTACATAATACCATTTTATGTTCATCAGCTGCAGTGAAGAAAAATGTGGGATGATGTAACTTAATAAGTGACAGAGGAGGTTTGTGAGGAGGGTGGCACTCTAGAAGGTGGGGTGCTGCATGTTCTTGAGCAATTCATGCACATTTTCTTCGTCATTGACTGCAATCCGCACAAGGTAACCTCATTGTCCCACTTCCTCCCTGTTTCCTGTTTCCATTCCTCCTTTCCTAACTCTTCTGAACGCTGTCCTGGGGTAAACGTTGCCATTTTTATCTCAAATGGTTATATTAAGGTATGTCTATGGTAGCCCTGGTAGCGTGTTGTTGTTGTGAAGTGCCGTCGAGTAGATTCCCTGGCAGCTGTTGAGCTGCAGTTTGAAACTACCAGTCACTCCGCAGGAGAAAGATGAGGTTTTCTGTTCCATAAACACTTCTAACCTCACAAACCCTACGCCGGGTAGCTATAAGCGGAGACCAATCCCACGGCACACCATCACCACCACTACCTCCCTTAGGGTTGTCATTCCCGTATAGACTGTCGATTTGGCTGAAAATTGAGTCTAGTCTTAGGGTCTCACCAGTCTCTGTGCAATCAGTAAGCCTGGTCTTTCTTATGTTTTTAGTTTTGTTCTACTCCTCCCCTTCCCCCGCATCCAGGATTTTCCAATGTGATTCATCTCAGAGCAGCTGGTAGTGGAACATGGGCCCCATCTAGTTCTTTTGGTCTCGGGATCATGGAGGTTGATGTTGGAACGGTCCATTAGCCCGTCTGACTTAATTGTTTCCGTGGTGGCCCATAGGGTAAGTGCTGGACTGGAAACCATAAGGTCTGAGATTTGAACCCTCAGCGGGAGAAAGATGAGGCATTCTGCTCCGGCAGAGATTTATAGTCTCAGAAACCTTACACAGGGTCACCATGAGTGGGAAGTAACTCGATGCCACTGAAGAGCATTCCTACATCTTCAGTTTTCTTCACTCAGTTCTGGACAGGGGAAAGCATCTCACATGTCTTTACTCACCAAATAGGACACGGACTTTGGTGTCCCTGAGATTATGGCTCCGAGCCCCCAAGTCTTGTGTCCAGCCTAAGTGTCCATCTCAGTGTCCAGGAACCCTTGTCCCAGTTTGTGTGTTCTAGCTTGAGCATCTAGATCATGTCTCCAGCAGGAAACCACCCTAGTGGGCTTGTGGGTGTGAATCGTTGCCTGCCCTTTCTGCATGGCCTGCTAACTGCCAGTGGTCTTTTAGTCGTCTTAAAGACCACCTCCCCCCCC